TCGAACGTTATCGGCGAAATGTTTGCACCGTATGGATTTGTGGCACCATAGGGAGCACTGCTGAGTGCTAATTTTGGATAACTCCCGTAATTCATTTTTTTTGTAATAATGTAACCCGAATTTGGTGGCACATAGCATAACGGAACGGTTGGATTGCTCTGCAACGATAATATTAGATGCAGACAGTTAACTGAAGAATACTCAAAACCGGTGCAGTTTGTTTCTTCAGCAGCTATAAGGCTGTTTTTATCAGTGCTTGTATAGGTATTGACTCTATCAATGAGGCTAAATGGAACCAGTTTCCACGTAGGTAACAATAAGAGTAAAAATACTCCTTTGTAAAAAAAAAGCTCGCATACAAGTGCCATGGCCTGTAAGAAGCAGAAATATGGTAGAATATAGGGCAAGAAACACATATCTGAGGGGGAAAAATCCGCAAAAATATTCGATGAGTTGACCGGATTTTCACTGCCATCTCAAAAAATTTTCCGTCTTCTCTCCATCATAAGCACCTGGGTATGCGGAACTTCTTGTTCTGTGCCCTCGTATGCTCATTTTACTCTTTGTCCCTGACTCACGAGGCTGTGCGTTTACTTCATCGAGTGCCGAAGGAAGTTCCTGCTTTTTTATATCACCGCCACTTTAGGCTACAGATAAACACTATTAGTTAATGCTTTGTCGTGTAAAACAATTTTTTTAGGCCATTAAACTTCAATAGCTATGAAAGAATGTCAACAGATCAGCACATCGAATGCTTCACCGGATACTTTAAACACTTGTTGACCCGCCTACTTGGCACAGCAGTAAGCGACAAGGTTATTTGTAACCAGGTGACAGCAGCGTTTCGAAAAGAGATTATGGGTTACGAAAATCGAAAACCAAAGTTATGCTGAAACTTGCTTCTCATATCATCCTATGCTAAAAAAATATAAATGTCCGGTGTGATAGCACACTATCAGCAGCAACATCGTTCTAATCTTTCCAAAAAAAAAAAAACTAACTAACATCATGATCAGTGATACCATCCCAGATGCAGTTATGCTGCAAACACATCTGCTGCGAAGCACCCGGGCTTGGATTGCAGTCAACGCGTTCTCCGATCGGCACAGCATCGTCGCCTCGTTCTCCAGAATGTGTCCAACGCAGTGCATCGCTGTGTCCTCGGGCGGTGGCCAGGTTGAGGAGCTCGTGTTTTCTAATCAACAATCGCTTCGTTTTTGGTTCATAATTGAACAAAACTTCAGAAATTGAAGCGTCATTTATTTTCATACTGCCAGAATCCGGACGAAATTCGTAGCCAAGAATATCGATAATTTCAAGTGGAGGTACCTTCAGTCCGGACTGCAATTTCAAGGAGTCAGCGAGACGTGGGCAAGCAGACAATATTTTTTCTCAGTAACTTTTTTCCAAGCTTCCAAGCACTGACTGCTTTTCTTTTGAAACTGATGAAAAGAGTAAGGGAACGACGGATATGAGCAAAATATTTGAAAGTAGAATGTGAAAATCGTAAGATTTCGAGTAAGTAAAGAGCTCCCATGACATGCAGAGGAAGTAAAAATGCATGCCTCTTTTTTAAGAAATCCTTCAAAGAAAGTATCCAAAGAATCCAGAGAGGGAAATAGCGCAATGCAGGGCTTGTGGATTTCTTGCAAAGCAAGGAAGCAAAAAGCCTATTTAAGTTTGGAGAGTGCGTACTAGTACTACTAGCAACCTTGACAATAGATGGATCTTGAAGGCGGACTGCAAAATTTTGGCACTATTGTTATTTGGTGCCATTTTTGAACGTCTACGCAGAT